CAACCGTTGAGACGTCGTTGATGAAACTTTCAGAAAATGTTTAACTAATAGTCGTTATTCATTACCCAAAATTTCACTCAATCCGTCTGGCGAAAAAAAAGTCGACTTTTTCAGCTCTCTCATAATGTTGTGAATGTTTCAAAACTTCATTAGCATACCAATGCATGAAATCATAATAGTGGATCAAAAACGCGTAATTGAGTAAAGCATAGACTATGTCTAAATCGGGAAATATACTAGATAGTTCAGACGGTAGATTAGTGAGGAAGTCTCGAGAAATATGGTTGCGCAAGTCCCTTAAAAAATCGGTTCCTGTGGTGTCGTTTTTTATCGGTACCACGATATGTGTTTCATCATCGTGTCCTGTTTGAACGTCCATGATGTCTAGTCCATTGTTAATGGGTACATGATTATCGTTACCCGTCACAGGGGTTGATAAGAAAATAATATCGTCGGTAGCACCTTTTGGAACTACGTTACCCTGATTAGGGTTGTATGTTGACAAAAAACTGGTCCCTAATGGACAAGAAAAACACGATATTATCGTAGAAATAAGTAAAGGTAGAGCTCTGTCCCGGAGATGAAGTCTGTCGTATAAATGTTCTTGTGTAACTGGTGATGATACTACTGGAAACTTCAATTCATTGGACAATTGATGAAATCGATTGTTGTATTCATTGACGATGAGATGTGGTGGGCTTTGTTTGAACGCGCCGAATAATTTTGTACGGATTAAAACGTCATGAACAATGACACGCTGAATATTTGGGTATAGATGTTGAATATCGACGATGAGAGTAGCTAGACTGTCTATAACTTGTTTTCGCGGGTGTATCCCTAGATCATTGGTTCCAATAATGATGAGTAGTTGTGTGGCATCGTTTAGTAAACGTTGACCGTGTTGGATATAAATATAGTGATGGAGTGTTGATATATTGGCACCACTTTCCGACTTAATTTTTATATAAAAATATGGATTTTTTAGTTGTGCGATACGAATTCGTTGAGTTGTAGATGCTGATAATATAGTAACGACGGGTTTTCTCCTTGATACAACGTTTTGTTGATTGATTGGAGCATTGTTGGGTTCATTTGATGGTCGAATAATTCTTGTATATACTGGTCGAGGCGGTGATTGATATTGCTGGAGTTGATGAAAACGGTTTTGTAGCGTTATCAACGGTTGTGATGTTGTACGAGAACGATGTGTTCGATCTCGCGATTTTGATTGTTGTATAGGAAGCGTAGGTAATGGCAGCTGTTGTTTTAAAGTATCGAGACGAGTATACGAGTCAAAAATCGACGTTGTACCTCGTTGAAAACTATATTGTTGAAAGGGTACCCTAAACTGTGGTCGACGATTTTGCTGCGTCGGTAATGAATGTTGGAGAGACGACTGTTGTATAGTAGTCTGTTTTGCGTGTTTGTTTTGTTGTTCTCTTCGTTTTTTGATGATCGCACGCGGAAACATCTACTCTGGAACAGAGGTAACAACCGGTGGGGGTGCTACAGAGGCAAAAGGGGGAAAGAGATCTACACTAAAATGTGACTCACCAATATTTGATGTTCGTGCCACTAAGCCTTGCACATTACTTGGGACATCACTCCCCTTGGTAGTTAGTTTGGATGTTGGTAATTGGTCCTCTTGCTGCTGTTCTGATGGCAACAATAATGTACTATTTGAATGTCCTGGTGCCAGCGTAGATGCCAGTATGTCCAAAACTGGTACCTCATGATGATGTACCTGTGTTGTCTTGGTAATTGGTGATTCGTATTGATGTGTTGAATCTGCTGAATCTGGTATACGTTCAGCGGCCACGTGCTTGTGTTTATGGTTGGTACTTGGTGTACCAGGCGATGATTCTTGAGCTGATGTTTGGCGTTTGTGTTTGTTATTGTTGATGTAAGAACACGAATAACCTCGCTAACCGTTTGTATGACACCGTTAGTCGTTGTTGTGATTAAACCAGGTGATGTTTGTTGAGCCGACATGTTTTCGTCTTCCACAGCTGATTGTTCAGTGTGAGGACACACAATCAGGTTCGCTAGAACTGTTGGTGGATTATTTTTATATTTCTTGTACATTGTTGGGTTACCTACTCCAGCTAACTAAGCAAATTAATTGTATGTTGATGGCTGGAAAATAAATATACGATATCCGAGAAAAACAGGCTAACAAGCCCTTTATTTTCTCCGTTTTCGATAGAAGGAATAATAAGTTCCTTCTTATTTAAAAGGCGATATACACACAGACATGTGCTTTATTTTCGCCTTTTTCGGACAGAAGAACACAAGTTCTTTTTATCCATAGAGAAATGTGCTTTATTTTCTTCTTCAATAAGAAGAGCATAACTTCTTATTTAAACAAGATAAGTTGTTACTATTCGACTAACAAGTCACGTAAGTACGTGCATTCATTTTCTCCACGATGTTTCACACCATAACCCAGCTGAAGAGACCCTTGAGCAAGGGCGAAACCGGTCCTGGGTTGCTCCATTCGTTTTTAAAAAAGCTTTCGAAAAATTCGAACTCTTTTACTCTTTTTGTACGAAAATAAACATTCGAAATCTATCGTTCACCATGCTTAACGGCAAGATTGTCGTTTTTAGTTCAAAAATATTAACATTATCATAGGTTCAGAACTTAATCGAACAAGTCCTTTGTCAGGAAAATCTTGGAACCTGTTTTGGCCTGCTGTGAAGGTAAACTTTTTTTCTGGACTTTTGTGTAAATGTATAATTTTATGAGTAAAGATTGCGCAGACGTAGGAGTCGTCTCATTTTCATAATGTTCTGGACTACGATTGGGATTGATAGATCGGAAGGGACTTTACTTAGGATTTTGACTGAGTCTGAGTCTGATCAACAGAAAAAGGCGAGATTAACACGATGAAAAAACCGGCCTTCTGACATCAGTTTCTATATGTTGTACGGGCATTTGAGGTGCTGTGTCTGGAACGGTATAAAAGTTTGACATTGTGTGCAAATATATCGCTGTTACCGTCCTGGCATCAAGTACGACGCCCATTGCCTAGATGTCAGAAAGTGGGTGAAGACAATAAGTCTGAGTATCCAAATCCTGATGGAAGTACGGTTGTTCACCATGTTTTATTCGAACTTTTGTTCGAGCACATACTGGAACTAGTGTTTAACGTTTTGCTAGAAAGTATGCAGCTGTTGTCAGGCCATAATTTTCAATTACAAAGAAAAACCAGTCATTTTGAATGAACACAGAGTCGTTCAAACTAAGGACCTAGATTTTAGGAATAACGAACAGTATCCTTCTTACTATGTTCTAATGTACTGAAAATTATTTAAAAACATTATCCTGACGACCAATTTAAATCATTGAATTTAGTTCTGCCGCCGCCAAGTATATATCAGGGCTCGAAACAGGCCAAGCAGCTTGCCTGCCTGCCTGTTACAGACAGGCCAGGCTACAAATTATCGGCCTGCATCAGGCTAAGGCAGACCTTTGAAAACACCAGGCGACCTAGCCTAGGAAATTTTATTCATAATCCAGCATTTCGGCTGTAGATGTCGTTATGATATGGGAGTTTCACAGTGTGAAACTATGTACTAGACTGAAATAGATCACTAAAAAACCAAATTTTTTTACTTAGATATATTGTTTAGTTATCTGTCACTTTTCTTTCCATCTTATGTTACTATTATTTGTACATTTTGTTTATTAAAAAAATTACCAGGCATCTACAGACCAGGCCAAGGTAGGCCGAGAGCGCTAGCAGGCAGGCAGGGCCCAGGGAATATTTCGAGAGGCGCAGGCAGATCTAAACATTACAAGCCAGACGCAGGCAGACCAGGTCTCAAAATTGTCGACCTGTTTCGAGCCCTGGTATATATTCAATAAAACAACAAAGAAACGCGCAAGAACGCTCTCGTCGTCGTCAAATAAAAATATGAATAAACACACTAGAAAGCAAAGTGTTGCATTTTTGTGTCACAATGGAATACGCTACATTTCTACACGAAAATTGAATCCCAAACTTTTCCGTCTTCATGTGTTGCGATTGTCAAGGCTTAGTTTCGAGTTTGGTATGGGAGTCAGCAGAAATTTCCTAGACTGGTGAAAAACCGGCATGGTGAAAACCTGCTAAAAAACCGGTCGTCTGAGAACTTTTATCAGTAAAACAAAATATCTTTAAGGAAAAAGTGGTCTTTACTAGCTTTTTCTTATTTCTCTTAGTTGTGTTATCAAGTTTCTTTTGAATGAAGACGAGAAAAATTCTAAAAATTCTGAAACCGGCAAAAAACCGTTCGACACCGGCCGCTTTGAAAATTTCTCTTGAGCGGCAACAGACCGACCAGTGCGCTTGCTGGGTTTCAAGTTTGAGTTGCTAGAATCTGGAGCTTTTAAACTTGATCTTTTGGTGTGAGTGGAATAGCACTAGACTTAGCGCATCAACACTATCAGATGAGATTAAAATTGATTGAGAACACCATAAAATTCGAAAAATTTTGAAATATAGAATCCACTAGAGTGGTGAGAATATAGGTCCACTAGAGTGGTGATTTCTTAATTTCAATTTTCTGCTATTCTCTACAAATTTTCACTCACACCGTACAATAGCAGCGGAAATCGCACATGTGCACAAAACAGAACGATGAAGGGAGGATGTATTTTATGTTCTCTTCATAGCACCTTTATCATACTCAATTCATCCTCCGTAGTGTCTACCTAATCTTTTTGATCAAAGCTATTCAAGCGTGTCGTGTGTTATTGCATAGAAAAGAACGACGATGCGGCGGTGGTGTGAGCAAGCATAGAGGAGAGAGACAGAGAGAGGTAGTAAATAAGGGAGCAATTTTCTTTTTTGTTTCTTCGTATGATTCTCCTTGCTCTCTTTTATCCAACTATTTACATTGCTTATTAGAGATCGAATGTCTACCGCGTTTCAAGACAAAAGTACTGAGGTCAAAAAGAGTTCAACCCTCTTCTCTCTTATCGAACAACATCATTCGAATGAAAAATCGGCCGCTCGAAAAAGCGACCTTAGTAAGTTGTCGACCAATGAGTTCGCAGCGTATGGTGTGGAACATTGTGCCGAATTGGAATACCGTGCAGAATTGGCTCGTCGAATTGCTGACACGTTTGATAAAGCCGATACAATACTAATGTTCGACAATATTATCCCCTCCGGTCTTGACGGATTGACAGGAGATGACGTTTCGGATTCCGATCGATCCCTGTTATCCGCCTTATGGTTGTCAACTGGTTTTCGCCATGGTGGAAAAGTTCTTATCTATGCACCACCCAACCCAGTCGAAATGAAAAGCTATTTGAAATTGAAGAAGATTGTCGAACAACGGTTACAAAAGCAGGTTCCTATTCAAATCCTCCACGAGACCGAAAAATGTAAGCGAATATTTCCTAAATCTTTTCAACGAATCAGCCACCTCAAAAATAACTCTGTTGACCAGTGCAAACATTCCGTTTTTTACTTATCGCCATGGTTGAGTCGGTATACAATATCAATAAGGAAAATGTTTTCGATCCACGAGCGTTTACTGTATACCTGGCGTGGCAAAAGTTTTGTGACATTTTTTGTTTTGCATATATCTCAGTTCAGACAAACGATAAGGTGTTGATTTTCATTTCAAAAGACGCAGAATTTTATTCTCTATCAAAGTTATATCAGCCTGTCTCTACAGTTTTTATAAGGTTTCTGTAGACGATCAGAAGTGAACATGTATGTCATATTGCTATTTCCCACTGGAAAGCTGTGGAAAAGCTCTGGCAATCATCAGTTTGTAAATAAGCAAATAAGGTTGATTTTTCGCCGAGTAGGATTTTATGAAGTATCTGGCTCGATCGGCGCAAAAAAGTCAGCAGAAACATGGGCCGAAATAAGCATATCAATCAATCGATTTAGTGAAAAATGACTTGAATATAGAATTGCAAGAAAAAATTGAAGAACGATCATAAAATATTTCAAATGTAACGAATCAAACAACGGCAGAGTGTTGAATATATTAATTTTCTATATCGACTGAATGAGTTGGTCGTATAATCAGTGCCTTCTTATCCTATGTGCTAATTGTGCTATAGCACAGGGGCCCGGCTGACTCAGGGGTCCAACCGAACGGCTTAAGCCTTGTATTTGTTATTATTAAAAAAATACAAATTGATGTGTTGAAAACGTTAATGATCAGCACAAGGGCCACAAATTTCTTAAAACGGCTCTGCATATAATGCATAGATTCCCATCACTAGGTAATAACCTTGCAATTGGTAGAACTTTTCCACAATTTTTTAGTGGGAAATAGCAATATGACTTACACGTACACTTTTGATCGTCTACAGAAACCTTAGAAAAAGTTGTAGAAACAGGATGATGTAATCTGATAGAGAATTAAATTCTGCATCTTTTGAGATATAAATCAACGCCTTATCGTTTGTCTAAACTGAGATATATGCAAGACAAAAAATGTTGCAAAACTTTTGACACAC